CGTCTGCCTTTTTTTTTTTTTTTTTGTGATTCTGCTGAATGTTTATGGATGCCTGTTGTTTTAGAAATGGAATTAAAACAAGAGTTCAACTTGAAAACTAGGGCTGCTAATGAAGAAAAAATGCAGTTTTGTTCCTCTTCGTGCAATAAATTAATATCAATAATTTGGAAAAGAAGTCTTGTGAGGAATTTCCAGAGCAGTGACTCCTGGTTAATTGTCTCTTAAGATGCACCTCGTTTTCAGTTGCATGGTACGCTTGTTGAATTTATTAAAATGACACATCTATTTGTAACCCTCTGATAGGAACCTGATTAAATGTTTTGCCTGACTCGTTGCAGATTCAGCCACGTCTCTTCTAACAAATGTCGATTACACTTGCCATTAATTTTTACTTTTGCAGTCCCATTAAGGTTTTAAGAAGGTTTGGTCTGTTTATAACATGTTTCTTTGTGTGTGTGTTAATAGGAGAGCTGGCTTCACTAAGAAAGTGTGAGGTTTTCTTTGTTGTTTTCTTCTTCCCCTTACATCACATTAACATTCATTGACAATCACTTCTTCAGCAGCTGGAATGAGGAATGTTTATAACAGATAATAGCATGGCTGAGGTCCTTCCCTTGTGTCTTCAGGCACACAGGCACTCCAGTTGTGTTATCTTTGGTCACCAATCATTTTCAGACAAAACCTGCTGCTGTGTAGAGCCAGGAAGAGCTTCAGATCCTTTATGCTGAAGTGATGAGCCTGGAAGGTTCTTTCTGGTTCTTCACAAGCGAACACAATCCTTGCAGAATGGATGTTTGTAAAGATCACTGACATCTGCCCATCTGAGCTGTAGATATTTACCTACTACAGTGTTTTTATTTTACTGCTTTTAATTCTACGTTTTTAAAGAGAGGATTTGGCTGGAATTCTGTCTTACAGTGTAACTGAATTGGACACAAGCCTTGTCCTGGCTTGTAGCAGTTGGCCAACGAAACAAAGGGTGCTGTGCTGTGGGGCAGCCCTTGGGGAAGGAAACGAAGCTGCCTCTGGGATGCGCTGTGTGTCAGAGCTCACACAGCCACTCCATCACACACTTCTCACCTGGGTCCTAAATGCATGGATAGTAGCAGACAGCTCAGTGTCTTACAGCATGTCTCTGTGTTATCAATTGCTTTAATTTCCCCAAGCTACACAATGTCTGACCTGGATAACATTGGCCTCCTGGTGTCTCCAGTGTGAGTGAAAACAATTTCCAGGAAAACTCCCTGTGTTGCTCTGAAGGAATCTGACATTTCTGTGCCAGATACAGGCAGCTGGGTTCAGTGATTTCTTTCCCCCGGTGTGGTGGCAGATGTGAAAGCCTTCTCTAGTGTGCTTCAAAAGCATTTGGTCCTTAGAAAGAAGTGAAATATTTATTAGAGCTCTGTGGGAATCAGAACTTTTATCCCTTGTGAAATTTATATTGTTAGAGGAGGAGGAATTGGACTGAGTTAGGATGTTACGAGCAAGCCAAAACATATCCTGTGCTGGGATACATTTGCTAAAGACAAGCAGACTAACAAAGCGTTATTTTTCTGTGGGTTTTGTACCTGCAATAGAGCTCTGCACAAATGGGTCACAAGTCACATTTGGGATGTCACAGGGACACGGCAGGTTCTGAGACTTGACACTGAACTGCATCCCTTCCCATTCTCCAGGTGCTATTTCAAATAGGATTTAATCTCTTGGGCAAGGATTGTGTATGCTGCAGCTTCATAAACTGAAGGAATATTTACAAATGTATTTAACTACCAGAGCTTCATAAATAGTCGGGTCTGTAGCAAAGCAATATAAAAGAACATTTTCTATTAATATATGCACATATTTTCAGAGAGATAATATTTGTTTAACAATTCTTATCTCAAGAGTGCTTATATGATGTCAAGGTTTTATTCCCACGCCTTATTTTCCTAATGATCTAATTTCATTACCTTTACATCAGAGTCAGAAAAAATTCTCTGCAAGCAGCAGGCCTTTCAAAGCACAGCGAGGCTTAAGGCTCAGGAAGGGATTTGTATATCCCATTAATTTTCTTAATTGTAAACATAGCCTCGGTGCCTTGTGTAATAACCACATTTCAAAACAGCATGTGGCTCATTAAAATCCTAACATCTGAACTTGTGGAGTAAAGGTAACCAAATAATTAATCTGAGTAGTGTTCCTTTGATTAGTGAGTGTGTGCCCACTAGAAGGCACTATCTGCTAGTTATAAAATGAGCAAAGAAAGAGCTTCATGGAGAGAATTCCCCACAAATACCTCCAGAACAGCAGACAGGTGCAGTTTTAGGGAGTGGGCAATGTGTCTAGCCACAGTTACAGCTATTGCGCTGCAAAACCATAAGGAATCAAAATTGCTTGCTTTTTGGAGTCACAGTGACAGATGCATTTATAATATGAAGGAATGAATTTCTTGAGCTGCCTTTAGATAGGAACGGTGAGCGCTGAGCCCTTCCCCAGGGTTTGGAAGAGGAGGGTGAGGTCTCTGTCTCACTGATTTCCACTGTAATCTCAAGGCAAATCAATTTCCTGTGGCTCACTCCAGCTACAGAAAGGAACCGAGCTGCTTATTTGAAATGTTGAGGCAGTAAGTCCAGAGGAATCCAGGTAACATGAATTTGCACCTATTTTCTTGTCTCCCTTGACAACAATAGATTGCAAGAATTACAAGGTGTAATCTTAGTAACTCTTTCTGAGCTCTGTCCTACATCAGGCAGCAGCACAGGCTGCAGTACTTACCAGGAATCTGAGGAAACCTGCCTGGGTCCAAGGCAGGGAAAGGAAAGCTTTGAAACTAACTCTCACAGACAGCAGGTGTCAAAGCTCAGCGTCTCTCTGACCTACACCCAGCTTCAAGTGCTGCACAGACCAGATGGGGTGAGCTAAAGAGCTATCTGTATGCAGTTCTAATTACTGTCCATTGTCTTCAGAGCAAAGATTAAAGATCCACTTAAGGTCTCCATAATTCTGTATCACTTATCAGTTGGCCTGAGTGTTTCAAAATTGAGATTTATGTTTTGGATGTCTGTAACGAGAGCATCGCTCCTGCTAGAAAGATAGGAATCAATACAGCAGAAGAGATGAGACAGAAGTTTCAGATTTATTTCTGTTGCCCAGTGTGAGATCCTTAGGCCAGTGCACACAACTTTGTGCATTGTAACAGCTTCCAGTTTGTTTCTGGATTCTCAGACAGAAAGCAATACCACTAGATATGCTACAAAAAGCTTGGCTTGCATGGTGTCACTTCTAATTTTTGTCAGATTGTCTTTGTTGTTGTTAATACAGATTTTTTTGGTGGAATTATTACACAAGTCTGTACAAAATTGCACTGGTTTTGAAAGCTACGGTGGAAGATGCATTTTCTGTTTTGCAAGGGAATTGAAGTAGGGCGCGTTTAACCAGCAAACATTTGTGAGAATAAACTGCAAGAGGTAAATACGTGAGTAACAAAATACAACAATGTTACCACAATGAAAGCAGACAATTTGTCTTTAAAGAAAGTGGTTATATGGACTTAAATATACAGATAACTAAATAAAAAATGCAAGCCACAGTTTCAAATGACAGCCCTACACAGAGCTTGGCTTAAATGAATATATGGAATAATTTTCTTCTTACATACCGTGGTTTCAGCTGGGATAATTTCCTGTGCATTTGGTCTGAAATGTAACTGTGTATAAAAGGTGATTTAGTAAGGCACGAATCGTGCTCAGCCATTTATTATACAGAATGGACCTATATGCCAGTCTGTATTCTAAGTGATTGCACTCAAGTCTTTCTATAAGTAAATTACAATCTCTTGTGTTAGATTTTGCTTTAATATACATAACCTGGCTATTTGGTAACACATCATAATTTATTAGATTTTTCATGACATTACAAATAGCCTAAGGCTGGTATTACAAGATATATTGATACAGCTCCTACGTTCACAAAATTGCCCTATGCGTTTTTATTACAATTTCCTCTCAGTTTGGAAAAATGACCTGTCATATTGCCTTCATAACACACAGGTACTAATTTAGTGGCATCCAGAGAGCAGCCTTAAGTGGCCCACACGTAACTGCTGACTGCCACCAGTGCTTGCTTACATTTGTATTTCAAGCTGCAGTAGGGCTGTAATGATTGTCAGTAATATGCGACATTGGTCATTTTTCTTCACAACAGTGACACAGTACAGACTTTTCTAGGAACACTTCATTGCCAAAATGCTGTCATGTCAGGCCATAAATGTGGATGTGATTATAAAACCAACAGCTTTCTAAATAAGTGCTTTGGAGACTCCCAGCTGTTTGTTACTCAGAGTAGCCAGGCTCTACAATTCTAACTGGATTCTCTCCTTTGTTATTCGATACATCGTTGCTTTGTTTAGCAAACTTTGTTTTATACAACAGATGAGTGATTTAAACTGAAAGATCCCATACACAAGTTCCCACAATCCCATCCCAACTCTGTAAAGTATCAATATTTTAATCATTATTGTTCCAAGATGCTCCTAAGTGACACACTGTCAGTTTCAAAGTGTAGTTTCACAGTGTCACAAAAAGCAGAATACCATGGTGAGATTTTTTTCTAATTGAGAATTCTTTGTCTCCCTAACAGATCAGAATGGCAGTGGTAGCTCTGCTGTGTACACACGTCTCTACTGTTAAACATGTATTTGTTTTACATTCTAGGAGCACATAGGTAAGGTAATATCAACATGAGATGACTTTGATATTCAATGTCTTATGTTTCCAAAATCACCTTACTTACATTTATGAGGAGAAAACAATAGTCATCCTCTAGTCAAGAGAATGATGCTTGGACCTAAGATTAATGCCAGGTTTCAAACTTGTGCTTCACTCCACAAAGTTACATAGGACAACTTAAAGATCTCCACTGGACAGCAGTCATTATCTGTTTAGCTATCAAAAATGAGATGTCTAGAAAAAGTATATGAGGGAAAAAAGTGACCTCACAAAAAAAAAAAATACACCCGGTAATTGAGATCCGTAAGATCTGCATTTTAATAACAACTAATTGATCCTCGTAACAAGAATTCGAGAGGTGAAATTACAGTACACAAATTGAAATATAAACTAACCTATCCTAGCTATACAATATACATTAAGAATGCAAGCTCTGTAACAATATAAAAATGCTTTTACACACAGTAGTTGCAAAAAGCTGTTCTGTGAATTCCAAGGGCTTATAGAAAAAAAACCAGTCTTCCAGCATTCACCTTAAGTTATTGGCAACCTGTGGGGGAACAAGAAATAACGTGAATATGACTGAGAAGAATTTAAGAAAAAAACACACTGATTAGAAGTTTTCATTTGCGAGTTTCAAGCTAAGGAAATTGGCAGTGGCGGCCAAAAACTCTCTTAACATGCAAGTATGCCTGTTTCAAACAGGCTGCATGGTACTTGAGGTGTGACCTCTGAATTTCAGACATAAGAGCCTGAGACTCTTATTAAACCCCCTTAAAAAAATGTTATCTACCATTGTGTTTATTTCCTTATTGCTTTCCATGGATTATAAAAATTAAGTTCTGCATGAACCAAAACAAAATTTTCCTGCTTACATATTGTAACACACAGCCCCTGCTTATGCTGGAATGCTTTTGGCAATCTTGCATTGCCCTTATCTTGTGAGAAAGCTTCTTGTATTGTAACATACAGCAGTGCTCTATGGGAATTTCAGCCTACCTCACAAATCAAAGCAAAAATTCTTTTTTTTTTTTCCTTTTACAGTCAGTAATTTCAAGTGACCTGAGCATTTGTTGCAAGGCAAACTGTCTCACCTTAACTCTTGTTAGTAGCAGCAGGGGCTTTGTTCTCTCCTTCCAGTTCTTCTACTCCTGCTTGTGTCATCAGGTCTGCTATGTTTTTCTCCAGGTCATCTATGCGGCAGCTCATGTCATCGAGTTCTCTGGTTAAGGGCTATGACTGCAATGGATTAATGCTCAGGTTCTTGGCTGTGTTTGATTGCAATTATGGCACTACTCAACTTTTATGGTTGCTTTAAAAGTAGCTTACAAATCCCACAGATATACATAAAACTGCTTCAGCATTCAAAGTGTAGAGTAGCCATATGGCTTTAGAAAAGGATATTTCGCCCAATTATTTGGTCAGACATGGTTTGAAACTTGTCCTGCATTTGCTGAAGCAACGTCTGCACCTACCAGAAAGGGAGAAAAAAAAAATAAGCCTGTTTTGCTTTCATTACAGAGGCCATCGCCTTCTCTTACCAGAACACACACCGACCCGTTGCTTGCAGCGTTCCACCCCACAAAGCACGAGCCCTACAGCACAATTCCTCATCGCCTTATATTTACGTGTACACACAGACACACGAGAACGGAAACTCAGAGAGAGCCGACAAACCCTGAGTAGGCGGCAGCAGCTCCCCGCTAAGCAGGCAAAGCCTCTTCTCTGCCTCCACGGGGAAACCAACGGCGAGCTGCGCCGAGGCGGGCAGAACCCTACAAGTGATATCTAGTGGGATCCAGGCAGAAGGGCCTAGAGGCAGAACCAGAGCACACGGACGGGGCGAGGCCAAGGGATCCTCCAGCGCCCGCCCTGAGGGACGCCGCGCTCCGCCCGAGCCGCCCGCGCTCACCACGGCCGTGAGGTCCTGCACGGTTTTGGGGTCGGTCTCCGCCATGGCCTCGGCAGCGGCTCGGCGCACCCCGGGCTCCACAGCAACGGTACTTCCGGGCCGCGCCTCGAGACTTCCGTCCTAGAGCTCTCGCGAGAAGAGGAGTTCCCGCGGCATTCTGGGAAGTGCGGTCCGCGCGGCCGCAGCGCCTGAGGGGCGTTGAGGGCGGGAACAGTCGGCGCGTCACGGGAGCGCGCGGCCGCTTCTTTCCCACAGAGACGTTCGGGTTGGAAAAGCGGGATCGGCAAAGCTAGCCGTCCAGTTAAGACTACAAGTGCCCCGCTAAGCTATGGCTAAGAAGAAATACGCCCTGATATCCAACCTGAGCCTCCCCCCTGCGCAGAGCGCAGTAACGTGGTCCTTGAGGGACTGCAGAGCTTCGTGTGCTGGATTGTCCCTGTGGGGATGGATGCAGGAGCTGCATTCCCAAAGTGCAAATTTATGGGCTTTTCGACCAAAGACACGCATCTGTGGCTGTCGTCTGTGAGGGGAATTGATGTTTACGCAGCTTGCCTATTTATGTACTGCGAAAAGATCTAAGCAAATTGAAGTAAAGCACTGAAGGCGTTTGTAGGTGAGGAACGTTTGCCATTAGCAGGGGATAATTCCCAAATATCTCATTTCTGGTGAAAGCAGTGAACGCTGGCACTTTCAGCCTTATCCCGTAACTGCTAACAAATGTGAGATGTGGGGCATTTGCATTATTAATGTGCCTTCTGAAACACTGCAGTAGTAATAAAAAATAGAATTTAGTGCTACTTTGGGGAAATGTCGTCTGTTTAAATGTAAATATAGCTTCTAGTTCTGCGAAAGGCTAAGAAATTTACTCCCGTTTGTTTGTTTGATGTGTTTACAAAAGGTTGTTTCTATGACTGTTCAAGAGCTGCTGCTTTGGAAAGGCTGTCATACCTGGTCTGTAAATGCACACTGAGGAGGAGATATCTCAGCTCCCAAGTGCTGATGTGAGTCACACAGCAGGCAGTGCTGCAGGCTCAGGCTGAGCTGTCCTTTTGCTGGTGCAGACCACCAAGGGATGTGGGACAGCAGTGTCTGCTGGGGCCATTCCTTCCCCTGCACCATTTGAGCATGTCTCAGAAGCAGAAGCATGGGCCAGCTTCATCTCCAGCTTTTTTTTCTTGTGGATGGTTTTGGGGCAGCTTGCCTGTGAGAATGAGACCTTCCTGAGTTGGTTTCCACACCTTGTAACTGTGGCTGCCCTGGTAGTGATCCTGGCAAGTTCAGATGGGGTGCTTTGTAGATTCAGCTGGTGCCTCTTCTAACTCAGAAATTCCAGTGGCATGCTCCAGGTTTGGGGAGGTCCAAGGTGATTTCAACTTGTCACTTTAACGTTGTGGTATAGCAGTCCTGGTTATGCAAGAAGCCTGGTCAAACTGATGAAGGGATTCCTTGTGCCATTGATGGTTTTCAAATTATTGAGCAGTTGCACGTTTATCCTCACACAAGTTTTGGAACTGTTTTTCATGGTAGGATAAAAACGTTTTCATGATTCACTTCTTAGCACCACATAGTCAGACAGTGACTACCTTTAATATGAAGGGCTTTTTGTTTGGTTGTTTTTTTTGTCTTCTTTTTGAGATTAAATGCAGAAAAAAAGCTAAGCAGGGAGCATTGGTAGGGTTAATGATTCCCTCACAGTAATGGTCAGAGATTACTGAAATGATAGGAGATGTGGAAGGCTGGATAATCTTGCTAGTTTTTTTTACTGGCAAAGTCTTAATTTAAATTGTACAGAGAAGGAGGACTATCAGAATTAGCAAAGAGCCTGTTGTGTTCCTTAAAGTCAAGGGGAATTTACAAAGATTGATTTAAAAACAGTTAATGAAACTCATTTTTAATGCAGGGATAAGTAATTGCAGTGCAGAGTGCTTGGCCCATCCAGCAGTAAGGCATTGTCAGGCTGTGTACAGCAGCAGCACACTTTCAGTTTTCCCAAAAACTCAAAATGAGCTTTGCCTTGGTGGAAACATGACAGATTTCTGGCACTGGCATCTTTAGATTTGTTCCTGGTGATTACTCTGGTGATGCAGAGTTAATGCTTAATATAATTATAATCAAGCAACCACTTGAAAAATAAAAATCAAACTGTTAATTTAACAGTTTGTTTTTTATGCTATTGAATGTAAAAATCACCAAAGTGCTTAATTGTACAGAATTAAATTTGTATTTGCTGTTATACCTCCGTTCCTATAATCACAGGACAGGGATTAGGTGGCAGCTAATGAAAGGGTAAATAAATCCCAAAGGCAATTTTTGCAAAGACAGTTGTTTTTGCAACAGTACTTTAATTGCTTTGTCCATCAGCTCTTATTTGGGCTCCTGGATGATGTCAGGTAATCGTGGTAGTACTGTCTGTACAATGGATGTGCACTCAGACTGTTGCAACCATTCTTACTCCTTCATGTGAGTGTGCTGAGTTTATGGATCTGAAGGTACTCAGCACATAAAAATGTGTTTCTTGTACTCCAGCCAAAGACTTACGATGACATCTTGAGAATGAAATTTTAATATCTCATTGCAGCCTGAGTTGCTCACAGCATAAATTCTGGAGAAATTAGAAAAATATAACAAATGGAATTCATTTATTACTTCCAGAGGAACAGCACTCTTTAGAGGCTGTCAACTGTACACGAGGTCAAAATGTATTAAACAACAGATTCTTCTTTGAAAAGAACTGTGGAGGGAAAGCTGAATGTTCAATATCATGACTTGTGAATGTTTAACTAGTTAAAGCACAGTGTGTGGAAGCTGCAGAAGGAACAGAAGAGTGATTTGGAGCAAAACAGAAACAATTTACTGTGATTATTTTCAGATTGTTCTTATAGAATCATGGAATCATAGAATGGCCTGGGTTGCAAAGGAGCACAGTGCTCATCCAGCTCCAACCCCCTGCTGTGTGCAGGTCACCAACCAGCAGCCCAGGCTGCCCAGAGCCACATCCAGCCTGGCCTTGAATGCCTGCAGGGCTGGGGCATCCACAGCCTCCTTGGGCAACCTGTTCCAGTGCATCACCACCCTGTGTGTGAAAACCTTCCTCCTAATATCCAAACTAAACCTCCCTGTCTCAGTTTAAAACCATTCCCCCTTGTCCTGTCACTGCCCACCCTCGTAAGCAGCCCTTCTCCCTCCTGTTTATACGCTCCCTTCAAGTACTGGAAAGCCACAATGAGGTCTCCCTGGAGCTTCTCTTCTCCAAGTAAACAAGCCCAGTTCCCTCAACCTTTCTTCATAGACCAATTCTTCAGCAACTAAAATAAATATCTTTAATCTGAGTAGTTCTTACACAAAGTTCACTCCTGCTAAGAAATTAAATCATTTTTGCTGTAGTTATTCTGCTCTGGTAATTTACCGTGTCTTGCCTTCTCAGTCTCTGACGAGCTGGATGTTACCCACAGCAGAACTGAGCAAGGAGCGCCTCCCTGCATCTCCGGATCTTCTGGGCCACGTGTGGGAAGAGAAAGAACAGCCAGGATTCATTAAGAGCAGACAGATTTCATTGCAGAAGGTTGGACCAGAGGAGAATGAGCAAAGTAAGATATGGAGATAGGAAGTATTATTATCAAATTTCATGTTACTCCTTTACTGTCATTGCTCCTCATTTCTCCGCTTCATTTTAAGCCAAGTGTGACAACGTGTGGCAATATCTGTTACTTAATAATAACTGCTTTGCATTTCATAATAATGTTAATACAGTCCTTACTGGCATCTCTGGGGCCAGGACAAGAGGAGCTGTGCTCAGCAACCACCCTATAAAAGAACAAGGAAGAGATTGTAAGATTATACTTTGCTCTCTTTAATGAGACTGATAGTTCTGTAAAGAAAAGGACATGTATATATGTGAAAACAGACATTGTGCTGGTAGAAAAGTCAGCGGTACTTTTATGGTCAATATGTGAGTTTTAAAAGAAGCTACTAAGTTATGTTTTACCTTCATACTGTCATCTGTTATCTCAGTGATTGGAGAAGGCAAAGAGTCAAAGATAATTCGCACATGTAGAAGAACACGTGGGTGCCCCGTCCCTGGAGATGCTCAAGGCCAGGCTGGATGGGGACTTGGGCAGCCTGATCTGGTGCCTGGCTCAGTGCATGGCAACCCTGAGAAAATTTAAAAGAGAACTTCTGTGTTGGAAGGCAGTGAAAGAAAGGGAAAGAGCCATGTTGTGCTAACGTGGCGTTGCAGTCCTGGGATTCTTCTGGGAAGTTCTATAGATAGCTGTCTCTATGTTGCCCCTCTCCTTCACTGCCAACTTCAGGTTCAGTCATGCCCTTAATAACAAATAGCAGCTGATTTTTCTGATGCTCAGTACCTTAAAAGTAAAATGTTAATGTCTAGATACTGAATCTTTCATCATGGCTACATGGAGCATGGACCATGCACAAAACTGAAATGTGTTCTTCTCACACGCATTGACATTTGTGACCTAAGTGTATGGAGAACTTCATTTTTTTAAGCTCAAAGTCCATTTTACCTTCAATTATAAACATTCCAGAGGGCATCTCATTAAGGTTCCTGAGTAAAGCAAGCATACTATAGATAGAAGGAACAGTTTTGTTCTGCTAATTAACTGTAAGTGATGGGATTTTTCAATCAAGTTATTACTAGGAGTGTTGGCTGTAAGTTTCTGTAACAAAAAGTCGATTTGCAGCACAGAAACACAGGAGTTCTTAATGGAGGTTCAGTTTCTTTGAGAAGCAGTGCCAGTGAAAAATGTTTCACTCTGTTGGGCCTGGCTGTAGTGTCTGTGTAGCTCGTGGTGGTTTTCCCTTTAGCACAGGTGACTCTTCCTGTAAAGTCACTGAAGTGTTGCTGTCAGAGGTTCTTGGGTGGCTGTTGGCATCCTAAACCTAGGAGGTGCAGGGTCCCAGGAGGAATCCTCCTTTGCTTTGAATCCTGGCATTCCCTGGTGAATCAGAGCAGAGACAGATGAGACTGTTTTATAGATACATAGACTGCATAGAAAGGAGTTTGCTTTTAGTCACAAAGAGATGGGCTTATGCTTTGAGAGACATTTCAGTGCTTTATCCACAATCTGAGCACTCAGAGTGGA